CAAGCAGATGAATAATTGATCAACTCAAATCCGTGTCTCCAAAGATCACTGATAAAACTGAGCCAGCCATCCTCCTATTTCAAGAAACCTTGGGTCTCTGGCTAAGAAATCAGAAGATGCAACTGAAGAACCTTTTACTCCTCTCTGACTGTATCTAAAGATCACATACAGCTACCCAGTCCTTATTCCAAGTTGTTCTTATCAGAACAGGTCCCCTCTCTTTACACTCTGGCTCGGACACAGGCTACATCCTATAGCTGCTTCTGTTATTTCATTGGTTCCTAGAGTCTTCACAAAGGTGATTTTCTCATTCACGATATTTTTGTCCCTCTGAACCAGTCTAGCTTTTTCTTCTAACTTCACTTTTCCTATAAAAACCATCTTTATTAATTCCATCTAGTTCTTTTTTATTTTTTATTGAAGTATACTTGTATTATATTGATGTACAATATTATATAAGTTACAGGTGTACAATATAGTGATTCACAATTTTTAAAGGTTATACTCCTTATAGTTATTATAAAATATTGGCTATATTCCCCATGTTGTACAATATATCCTTGTAGCTTATTTAACACATAATAGTTTGTACCTCTTTATCCCCTACTGCTATCTTGCCCCTCCCCCCTTCCTTCTCCCCACTGGTAACCTCTAGTTTGTTCTCTGTATCTGTGAGTCTGCTTATTTTTTATTATATTCACTAGTTTGTTGTATTTTTTAGATTCTACATACAAGTGATATCCTACAGTATTTGTCTTTCTCTGTCTGATTTATTTCACTTAGCATAATACCCTCCATGTCCATCCATGTTGCTGAAAATTGTGAAATTTCATTCTTTTTTATGGCTGAGTAGTATCTCATTGTGTATATAATACCACATCTTCTTTATCCATTCATCTGTTGATGGACACTTAGGTTGCTTCCATGTCTTGGCAACTGAAGATAATGTTGCTATGAATATTGGAGTGCATGTATCTTTCATAATTCCATCTAGTTCTAATCAAACAATTCCAGAAAATGTCTCAATAATTTTTGTAATACGTATATACTGCATCTTTCTGGTTTTCACTGTTCTTAGGTAAATTTATCACTAGCTGGAATAATGTCTACTGTTTCTTACAAGCAGCAGCATAATACCATTGAAAGGACAGAAATTGAAGTCAAATGATTTGTATTCCGGTTTCAATTCTGACCGTTACTGGCTAGATGATCATGAAGAAATTACTCGATCTCCTATCCATTCATTCATTCATTCATTTATTCAGTGCCTAGTGTGTACTAGTCACTAAGCTAGGTGCTGGGAACACAGAGATACTTAAAACACATTCTCTGTTCTTAAGGAATTCATATCTAGCAGTGTAGAAAAGTGATTAAGTGCAATGGTAAAAGATTTACACAGGGTATTATGGGAATTCAAAGATGAGAGACCTAGTACAGATGTGAGCTGAAAATAGGAGAAATCAGAAAACATTCCAGGACTCTCTGAAGGATTCTTAACAGATGAGTAGAAGTTAGCTTGGCAAAGGGGCAGGAGCATATTCCAGAGGGTCTCAACTTGGGGCAAAGGCAGAGACTCAGAGTTCAATGCTATTGGCATGAAGTTCAAAGTAAGAGGTGGGAGGATATAAACGAACTGAAGAGGGCCAGGTCATGGAGCACATTGGATGTTATATTTAATAGCTTGGACTATCAGTGGTTATCAAAGAGCATGCTGCAGTACACTGATGTGTCATTAATTTTTACAGGGGTGCTGTCAAAGCTCTATCAGTGTGTAAAATTTGTTTTTTTGATACATATTTTTGATGTGATTTGTTAAGATAAAATAAGCCAGCAAATAAGCAAGAGGCAAGAGGCATAGCATAAAATCAGGCCCAAGAAAGACTATGTGTTTAGCAAAACAATTAAGTTCTTTGCTTTGTGGCTACGTAAAAATATGTAGCTAAGGTTTCACTCCTGCCTTGGCTGGAGAAGAACAGGGATAGATTCTCCTGCTGGTTCTTTCCCCAAGTAGATGCTGGTGAGGGAGCTTCCCCTTCCACCACACTACCCTCTCTTCCACTTCTGGGCCACTGAAGAGGTTCACACAGCAGTTTGGAAACAATCAGCAAAGCCTCAGGCCCCAGGCTGCTTTCACTGCTATCCTGTGATTTAAGGGGAACCTGTGACCAGCTCACAAGGCAATGCCTCTGCGGGGGTGGGTGGAGAGGAACTTGGTGTGATTAGATGGGGAGGGCGGGCAGGGGGAGGCAAGTAGAAAAACAAAAATCCCTCAGTTTAGTTATCTCCAAATTTTATCCTTTTATAGGAGTAAATCATTTTAATCCAATAGCCTCACCATGGTGAGAAGTGATAAAGCGAATGTCGCAAAAACCACAGACACTTTTAGCTGCTTAGGAACATTTTATTGGCATATCAATCTGCTGTAATCATTGCTGGCGTGGTTGGTGGAGTTAGTCATCTGGATAGGCCCTAATGGGCCAGGTAAGTGACCCTTGTTCTGGTCACACAGCTCTAAAGAGGTTGTCCTTGGGGCAGATGTGTTAGCTTGGGGAGGCGAAGGTGATAAAGGAGAACTGTGTCCACATTGTCACTAGCAGCCACATTGTTATACTGAGACTGAGGCCATTCACCCAGGTCAGATGAGGTAGTCCACAGCACACATCCACAGAAACCCACCTGCAGAACTGTCTGGACTCATGTATGGAGTGGACTTCAAGGGAGGCAGCTGTGTTTTCTGAAGGTCTGACATGAACCCTCATTCAGTATTTCCATCTGCACTTGTGGCCCCCACCACCACCCCTCAGCATATGGAAGCTGACAACTCCTATTTTAATCATTCTGCCATTTATTACTGACTGTACTTACACTTTCCTGTTTTAGACTTTAAAATCTTATTTCACTTACCCAAGTATCCTCCTGTCAATCTGAACTTCCTGACATGCTAATACAGTTGCCAGTCTTTGAACCCCTTCATGCGTACCACCAAAAATTCTTGGCTCTATAAACACAATTTAAATTCTACTGCTGGTTTTAAAGTGGGAAACAAGATGGCCAGATAATGCGCTTTAAATAAATTCTAGTAATTCCATGGCCACGTGGAGGATGGACTCGAAAGGGAGTATATTGATTGCAGAGACTGAAGGAAGCTGTTGCCTTTGGTCCAGGTGAGAAGACTGTGACTTCATTCCCAGGACTTTCAACTGAAAAGAAACTAGGGATGTATCTGCAATGAACTCAGTGAATCACAATCTAGAGCTAAAAAGACACCCCAGTTTGAATGAGTAGTAGTTAAGAGCAAGGACTTCGAAGTCAGGTAAAGCTGGGTTCAAATCCCAGCTCAACCATTTATATTACATGACTCATCTTTGACAAGACAGCAAACTTCTCCAGGCCTCCCAGCCAACAGTAAAGTGGAAATGCACCTACCTAAATTGCTTAGGTGGTTAATATATGGGAAATGTTATCCTGAAGCTTTTCTCCCTAGATGACACAGGAACTCAGAATACTCCAGTTAATTTGAGGCACTTAAGTTAAAGCTGGCGGTAACAGTAGAAAGAAATATTCCAAAATGTAAAAAAGAAGAACTGGTGATTATTAGCATGAGGAATGGAGAAACTATAGAAATTGGGACAATTAACGTGAATAAAATTCTAAAGATTTGAAATTAGGAAAAAGGGTCAAGAGGTCAATTTAATGACTTAATTCTCTTTTTAACTACCAGATACTATTAACAAATCTGAAACATTTCACTTGACAATATTTCCACGTATCTACTTAGGATTCCTTCTATCTGCTCATCCTACCCTGCCATTCTGCACCCCCAAGGAGATAAGTGATGAGGGTCAGCTTGGTACATTCAGCTCCACAGAAAAGCAGCAGGATGATCTAAGTATCCAATTTGCCTGTGATAAGGTAGGAAAAAAAAAATCCCTTCTCTCTTCATGGGAATTCAAACTATGATAAAGGAGACAGAAAGACAGCAAGTTTGAGTGAAATGTTTACATTTATATTGAAATATGCACTAAAACCGAATGAGTTCTACTAGTCAATGAAATTTTGCCAAAGCGGAATCACAAACTTCCATTGGGGAGGTCCAGTCAACTAGCAGCAGTGATCCCCAAGCAGGAACACCAAGGAGAAGCCTGGGAGACCCCACCCCCAAAAGCCTCCTTTCAAGGGATCCCAACTCACTTCTCCCACATGCACCCACACAGATTTAGGAGCACAGTCATGCTCCTCATTTTCTTATATCTTTAGTTTCTTCTTCGCTGCAATAAATATAAAATTGGCAATGCTCATATACCACAGCACAGACAATATTTCAGGCGTTAGCATACAACTGTAAACAGTGACTAGGTTAAAAAAATAAAAAAGATAAAAGAAAGTTGAACATTATTTTTAAACGACGACAAAATTCCTAAGAGCAGGGCATGAGCTACTCAAGATTTGTTTTGTTGCGTTAAGGTTTTTGACAAAAAATTCAGGTTTAGACAGATGTCCAAGTAGACTCAAGGTGGTAGCCAAACCACTGCCCATGGCAGTCTAGAATATGTGGCAGCAAAACAACATGCCCTAGATCACCCTTGGCAGTACATCTTCAACCTGCCACATTCAAGATGGGACTGCAGAAATCTTTATTGTGCCATCACCAGCTGCCAACTAGTGCAGTGGGAATGGGTGGGCAAAGGAATGGAAGTTTGCTGGGAGACAAATAGAATTAACACCTCTGCTGGCTGCCTGGAAAGTTGGCCCGTTAATCACAAGGACAACTAGGACATTTCACTTGGACAGTGCATTAAACTTCATATATGTGTGTGTATATATTTCTCTCATATATATATATATATATATATATATATATATATATATGAAATCCAAAGATTAAGCATTAAGTTCTGTCACTGCAACAAACGGGTGTCAATCAAAGAAAAACAGAAGAACACTTTTTGCCTAAAGCAGTGCAAAGAAAGCTGGCAAGAAATGAAAGTGGACTCAGTATCTGCACATTAGCAATGGGGCAGACTTTTATTTAAAAGGCTAGTGGTTCAAATACTATTGCTCAAATAGCTCTGGTAAATATAAAATGTAGTTAACATCCAAGGTTTATACACAGAAGCAAAGGAGCTGAAGGCCAATTCACAAAGGGATATTTGATCCTTAGTCAAGAGAGAAGCTAAAAGCACATGCTGCAGGAGTAACCTAATGGGGTTTGTTTGGACCATACTCCTTCCCTCTGACAACAGAAAAGACCTAGATAGGAAACTGTCTTTTCACACACAAAATTGTGGCTTAATTAAATCTCCTCCCTAGAACTATACCTCAGCTAAGAAAAAAAAAATCTGTCTTGAAAAACTCAAGAACCTGGGCTACTAAAAATAAAAAGGAAAATTTAATATAGTAAACAAGTTTAGTAAACACCACATATATTTTCAGTTGTTAATGAAGACATGATACATTCAGGAAAGTTTTTGTTTTTTTTAAAGACAAAAAAACCAAAAAACAAAATTCCCAGAAAAAGCCTCGAGGAGAAAAAAAAAAAAAATCGCCCAAGTTCTATCCCTTTCAGTCAGAAGCGGCTCTTAGCACAAACCACAAATCCCCCTCCAACACACAAAAGCAATGCCATGTGCCTTGCAAGCAGAGTAAGAAACATATGCCTTAGTTACTGAACTTGAACGTTAAGCAGAATCATTGCAGAGCACATTTTGATGGGTTACTTCAATATCCACCTGGTCCAGTTTAAAGTATTTGTTCGTAAATCCAGTTTGTACATATTCCATAGGTATAGTAAACAATAAACCACCTGTTGTCCTATTATTTTTTGTCCTATTATTTTTTAAATGGCAGTTCTTGTAGCTCAACAAACCATTAAGATTATAAAGAGCTCTCTTGAAAGAAATTCTCAGATGAAGATCAATTGAGAAATCCTGAAGGTTAAACGAAGTTCTTTTTTACTAGTTCTTTTTTTACTAAAACAGTGGGATCAAGCAGAATATCTATTCGGAAGAGCAGTTTCAACATTTCCCCATGAGAAGAGGCCAAATTTTTCTGGACTAATAATAATTTAAAAACTAAGCCAATAAAAATAAAATAAAATATACACCTTAAAATACTACAAAACTTGAAATAAAGTCAGGGCTTATGGAGTGGGAAACAGAGTTCTGGGTTTTTTTTCTCCCCAAAAGAAGGAAAACTGTAACAGGTTCTAAGGGAAAAACAAAACAAAACAAACCAGAACTCTGAATATGGATAGCACTACACAGACTCTATAGCACAGACCACCACACAAGAATGAATTACATATCAGTAATATCATCATGAGAGTAACTGGCTGGGGATTTATACTTCCAGCAACAGAGCTCCTAGGTCAAAAACGTGTTAAAAGCTTGTAATGTTAACAAGGACCCCTCCCACCAAAAAAAAGAGGGGATGAGGGGGAATAGAGGAAAGGCTGCATGCATGGGTCTATTACAGACGTGATATTCAGCAGCATAAAAATAATACCCTCCATTGAGTCCCCCAAATGGGGCAAAACCTATTTTCCACTGCTAAGCATGGGAAAGGTTAACAGAGTGGAATAAATTCACCTGTAACCACAGCATCTCCCATACTTGAATGACAAGCACATTCAATCTGATGTTATATGTTGCTATAACATTGAGAATACGTATGAGTAAAGCAAAATAAAAAACAAAAGGCTAAATTATGAACTTTAAAAACTGGAAAAACATCTGTTTTAAAGCCAAGAAGGTGTTATTCTAATTATTATTATATATGACATAATCCATAGAAAGAAAGGCCAAGGAAAGAATCTTCATTTTGTTCAGTACTTAGGCTTGATGTTGTCCTAGGAAAAACAGTGATAAGTCAATGAATGTGTCACACATATAACTAAAAAGTCCCCTTCTGGTTTCCAATGAATTTAAACAACCATCTTCCTTGGCTAATTTTTCTCCTGTGTCAAACAAACCTTCTATGTACAGGACCAGTTTAAATCCCTCCTCCCCTTCAAACACTAGATATGAACATCCAGGAACATTCTACAATGCAAAGTGCCTTAAGAAAGAGAAGGATTCTGTAGTGCCAGTGATATAACTGATCTGAGGAAGCTGGGACGCTATTAACACTGATGGGAGCCAGTCAGGCAATGGTGGTTTGTTTTTCCTCAGGTGTTTCCTCCAACAATTGCATGATCAGTTCATGGAGGGGTTTGCAGATCTTTGCGTAGCCCCCTCCTGTGAGATGCAGAAAATCAAACATGTCGTGGCAGGAGATGGCACCGTCCGAGTGCACGAAGCCCCCATCTGTATCCAGGAGCTGAACATTGGCAAGCTTCGGCAGGGAAACCTTGAGGAGCTGGTTCACCTTGGCATTCTTTTGCCTCAAAGGGTTGGGCTTCTCACCTCGAGGTAACAAACCCTGGGGAAGAGCAGAGAAGAATATAAGATGAGAAGACTCACTGTTTTTTCCTACTTACTTGTGATTTCAAATATCCCTGGAACTCTCCATCTAGCACTTGTTATACCTTTGATTTCTGAAACACTGTCTTAATGAAAGTTCTCTGACTATCCCTCCTAGGTTTCTTCCTGAGCTCCTCCTCCTCCTCCTGTCCCTTAACTGCTGGTATTCTTCAGGGTTTTGTCCTTGGCCCAGTACTCTCTACACTCTACACACTTTAGCCCAGATCTCTTCCTGGAGCTTCAGAACTGTGTATTTGAATGCTCCTGAGGCACACCCAACTTAACACGTCCAAAAACCCATTCATCATCTCCCCCATAGACTATGTTCCTTCTACATTCTCTGTGTCAACTGACCTTCCAACATCCCTGAGTCGCTCATCCCATGTACCTTATCTATTCATCATTAAATCACTCAGCTTTTACATCCTAAGCATTTTTCCAATCCATTCTTTTTTCTGACTATAGACACTGCTATGGCTAGGGAACTTAACCAATATTCACCTCAATTAATGTAAAATCTCCTGACTAGTCTTCCTACCTCCAGTGGTATTACCCTTTCAATTTATCCTCCATATAGTCCACCACATAGCTAGAATAATCTAGCTCAAATACACATCTATTCATTAATGCCACATGGAACCTACACTAGAACACACGAGAAATGGAGTTGGAACAAATGCTGTCTTGATGAATCAGAGCCACATAATATCTGGTAGTATAAAACAGAGATGTGTTCTAAATTTATTTTTAACTTATTTGTTAATGATCTAATATAATTTTCAGATAAATCAGATGTCTGTCCTTCTACTATAGTAAATAAAAGCCAGCTCTTATATGGCAAGTGCAAGGTTTTATCATCTCAAACTAGAAATGGCCTTTATACAGATAACTGATCCAATTATAAAACTGTCAGAAATCCCCAACCTTTTAGTTGGTTTATAGCTAATGATGCCCACACAGCCAAGTTATTGTTATTTAGGCAAAAATGTTGTCACCTGTTTCTCCTACAGGGTATGATAAGAGGTCTTATTTCATAAAAACGGGTTTTCTGTAGGCGTTCTACTAAAAGAATCAAAAAAATTTTTATGCCCAAAGCGTTATTCACGTCTGCTTTAAATTTTTTCAGCAAAACGCTGGACCTCGATTATTAACTTACTGTGTGACCGTAAAGTTCCAAAGAGAACTACAGAGAATTATGAATATGCTACCCCAATCCATCTCCTTTCATCCTTGTCAAGTGCAGACAAGGTCAATGCTAAACCCTAGTTTATATAACTGTTAAAAGTATAAGGCTATGAATCTAATAGTTAACAAAGAAAATCAGCCCTCAGCGCTGGCACATCAAAGCTTGGTTGAGATATAATGAGCAACCAGGAAGGATGGCCAGTGACCAATAAATACATGTTATTCTGACTTTCAAAGAATACCATAGTAATTAAAGCCATAAAAAAGGATTAAGCCTCAAGAGCAGGGCGCCATACCTATTGGGATTGTCAAGCAAGGATAAGAAAAATAGCTTATATACTTGCATAACATTTTCCTTAATAAATGAGTATCCAGGGTATGCCATGTGATTTTTTTCTCTATAATAACTGATAATTGTTAAAACATTATTTTAAAGGAGACAAAATACACTCCTAATTCCTTTACCATGTAACAACTATTTTATTTCCTTTTCCAATTTGCATATTTACTTTCAAGCAATTCTAAATATAATATACATACCGTTTAGTATTCGGACTGTTCACTTAAATACATCATAAATTCTGTTTTCACACAGTCCTCCTAATTGTCATATGATTAGTGCTATTATAGTCAATGACTTGTGCAATCATTCCCCCATGGGGTTGATTATTTAGGTTATTTCCAATGTTTTAGTATTGTAGATAACACCACCATATATCAAATTCAAAAGTCTGGTTGAAACAAAGAATATTTATGGAGGATTTATTCAGCAACATTCATGCAACAAATATGTCCTAAGCAACTACAATGTACCACCCACTGTACTTAAGAGATGGACTCCTAACCACAATGTAGTCTTTTCTGGAATAATGTAGGATATAAATAAATACATAAATTAATTAAATACCATGTAATAAAAAAATAAGACCTGGCTCCCCAGAACCCTGTCCTAAGATAATATCCGAACTCCTAACATGGGACCTGGCTGTGGCCTCTAACTATCCCAGACTTGAACTTTATTCTAATGATAACCCTAAAATTCTTCTAGCACCCTCCTTCACTCACCCAACAAACACATACATGTATAAGCCTTTGATCATTTCCTTCCTTTCTTCCTCCCTCCCTTTCTCTCTCTCTCATTCTTCTCTGTAATACCTTCTCTTCTTTCATTTCTCTATTTGTCTGGAAACCAATGAATTCTTTAAAGCTAAACTCAGATGTCAATTTTTATGTCTAAAATATACCCTGTTCTCTCCTTAGCATACAGTATAATAATTCTGTTTATATTGCTGTGTCCATCCACCAGCTCCTTGAGAGGAACCGCCTTACTCATTTTTGTATGCTCAGGACCTAGGATAGTGCCTTGTACATCGTGATTCTCGCATGTTTGTTGAATAAATGACTACCTTATTAACACTATATCTCATTGAAGAACTGAATACACGTCAGATTTCTCAAAAACATACATTTTTAGCTAGGTTAAGAATATCTACAGGTAAACTTTAACACTGAAATAGACAGCTGTTTATCCCTGAGACCATGAAGACAATGCTTTAATTCTACAAAGGGTAGCATTTCCTGTTAGTGGTAAGACTATGAAGAACCCATTTTCTTCCTGATGGAATCTCTGATATCTTAAAGAATTCAGAGATTCTGATAAATACACCACCTTTACCATATTAACCATGGAACAAAACAACACATCTAGGCTAATCCAAACTCAGGTCTAATAAAAAGAGACTCAGGAACTAGGAAAAGTCTCATATGCAACTTAAAAAATTATCAGAAGATAGTCAAGGCGAAAAAAAAAAAAAATTAAGGCAACCTGAGGCAACAAAGAGGATTTCCACTTCTAAACAAGGATGAGCAGAAAAAAGATGACCCCACAGCTGTTCTAGGAAATGAGACCAATAAGACGATGGGACATATCAGAGAAGAGCTTCTAGGGAGCTTGATAAACTGCTTCCAACCTAAAGATTCTCTATGTTCATGAGTGATCACATTTCTAAAAAGACTCCCCACCTTACCTAATGATATCAAGGTCTCCACCCACCCGAAGACCACATACCAATACAATGATTTTGGCCTGTGGCTGCCTTGTGTTGATAAGTTGTACGATGGCCTCGATTCCACCTGCTACTTCTTCTGCTGTATTTTCATGGTTGTTTGTTCCTACCCAGACAACAATGACCTATAATTGAGGGAAGGAAGACAAAGAGAAAAAAGATAAATATTCAGGAATGTCCACTAGTTAGTTGAAAATCTTATTTCAAAAATCAAAGAAGGAGGGGCTTCCCTGGTGGCACATTGGTTGAGAATCTGCCTGCCAATGCGGGGGACACGGGTTCGAGCCCTGGTCTGGGAAGATCCCACATGCCACGGAGCAACTAAGGCCGTGCACCACAACTACTGAGCCTGCGCTCTAGAGCCTGTGAGCCACAACTACTGAAGCCCGCGTGCCTAAGAGCCTGTGCTCTGCAACAAGAGAAACCACCGCAATGAGAAGCCCGTGCACCGCAACAAAGAGTAGCCCCCGCTTGCCGCAACTAGAGAAAGCCCACGCGCGGCAACGAAGACCCAACACAGCCAAAAATAAATAAATAAAATAAATTTTTTAAAAAATCAAAGAAGGAAAGATGAACTTCTCAAATGGTATTGGTAACTTCAACAGGGCAGCCATCTTAAAACATTATTAATGTATGCCTCATATACATCAGGATAAATTCCAAACAGAAAAACACTTAAGTGGGAAAACTGTACTAGGAAAAGATGAGAAAATTATTTTATGTGCAGTTGGAAGCTAATCTCTTAAGATCCAGAAACTATACAAAAAAGATAATAAATTCAACTGTACAAAAATAAAACCACTGCAAGTCAAAAAAGAAAAAAAAAAAGAGTGAAATCTAAGAAACATGGGGGAAAATACTTGCGACATCATAAGACTCCCTTAGTTAAAGTACCTTCTAGAAAAAATAAAAATAAAAGTACCCAAGGGAGTGTAGTGGGTATAAATACACAGTTCTACTCAAGGAAAAGAGTCAGTGGGGTGGAGGCTGGATATAGTTTTTAAAAGTTTTTCTCTTCAAAAAAATAATTTTACAAGGTGGCTATCACCTAGAGACACACACCTTCCTATGTAACCCAAAGTAATTTCCACCTGTCACAAAAGAAAGGAATATGCATGAGTTTTTCTGTTAGAAAGGCAAAAATAAAATACTTTCAACTACAGCAACTGTTATCAATGGCTCAGCTTTGTTTCCTTTTTGTTGTTTGGGTTGAAAAAATTTATATGCAGTGTGTCAACTCAGGATGTTGATAATGCTATAAGGCACTGGGCAAATGTTTGGGCTGAACATTTGTTCACATCTGCTTCAAATTTTCTTCAGAAGAACTTGGAGGCTTTGATTACCAATCTGTTTATATGTTTAAATGGATCCAAAATTACTTCCTCAAGTGAATCATAGCCCTGCTCCCACGGCCCACCTCTGAGCACTTTCCCCCTCATACTGCCTCAGGTAACAGAATAGCATACCTTATTAGCATCAAATCCCTTCCTACAGCAGAAGATATTTATAACAAGTACAAACCAAGCAAGCAATACACTGATTCTTAATTAAGCATGTATTTGGAATGTTCTTAAACAATATCATTTAACTTAAAGGGGCAGGAAGCAAAGAACAACAGTGAAATAACGCTTTAAAGAAGCAATTTTTTTTTACTACCAGTTTCTGACAATTTAACTATCTGCAAAAGACTCAAGATAAGGATATTCTTAAAAAAAAAATAATAATAAGTTTCATTTCACCTTAGGTTTAATATTCTCCAGTTCTCCATTCTTTAGTCTCCATAAAACATGTCTTGTTGTATCTCCCCCAATTCCAAAATTCAGTGCATGAAGTGGGGAAAAAAGCTCTCGCCATATCTGAAAAGAGAAAAACTTGATTTATTTAAGCTGAAATTAGTGGGAAATAAAATCCCTCAATTGCAATGTGTTGTGAGGCATCTGAAATAAGTTTCCCTTTTCTGTATTCAAATGTATCACTGCAAGTGGTATGCTACCAACTGCTGAAAGGGCTTTGAAGATGCCATTGTGTAACTCAGTTTTCAGTACAGCTTTAGATCTCAGCTCAAGACTTGAGTCACAGCTCAACCTGATGCCACTTAGGTACCAACATTTATAATTAAGCTGCCAACTCAATAAACTCTCCTTTTCCTTTATTCAACCATTTAAAGGAATAGGGTGAAGTAGAAACATGAGATGAAAAAATTTAGAGTGCTTGAGCCAAAAAGATATAAAGCTATCTTTTCTTTTAAATTCCCCTTGGGAGAATGCCTAACCTCAAAAAGATTCAGAACAGTTCACTACAAAAATATATAAAATATAAAAATGGTAAAACACAGTAAGAACTGAGAATCATGACTAAGACAAACATAAATGAGCAAATACAAATAAGAAAATAGTAAAATACAAATCATGACTAGGACAAATATAAACAAACAAATATAATGTGAAGCTTCTTGGAAGCCAAGGCAAAAAAGGGAGCTTATTTATAAATAATGTTGTATTTTTTCCTTTGTCTCATCATGCTTGATGGCACAAAGAATCCGATCAGGTAGGTCTGATTTCCCTTCTACTCTGAACTAGAGTGGAATGAATGCAAGTCTGTTATCAATGAATGTGTTGACATGAGCAGCCAAGGACCACCCTCACCCCTGCACCTCACCTCATACTGCTGCATCAACTGCACCATGGAGTCCCCCACAAACAGGACATCCGGCTCTTTGTCTTTGCAGTCCAGGACAAATCTGTTGTGCTGGTGTGAAGAAGAAAGAACAATCAGAAACTGGCATTTTCCCCTGTGAGATTTCTTGGCCTAGACAGAACAGTTGTCCAACCAGTCACTCTGTTGTTAAACATTCTATTTGGTCTGTCCCTAAAGCTGATTCCTCTCAATCTGCTATTAACTCCTGGGCCCTTCTGAAAACGAGAACAGAAAAATGCGTTCATATTTTTTTAAAAGCTTACCTTTCCTCCAACTCTTTTAAAGAAAATTTCAGATATACTTAAAGCTGATGTAATACAATGAACACCTGTATACACTCACTTACATTCAACAATAATATTTTCCCACATTTGCTTTATCTGTGTGTTTGCTGAATCATTTGAGAGTAAGCTGCAAACATTGTGATTCTTCACCTTTAAATATTCCGCATGCATCTCCTAAGCATAAGGACAGTCTCCTATAAAACCATAGAACTATTATCACATCTAAGAAAATAAACAATAATCCCATAAAATCTAACGTTTAATCTTCACAATTGTTCCAAAAGTATCATATGTATCTATTTTTTGAACTAGGATCCAATCAAAAGGCATGCATTTCATTTGAATGATTTTAATATGGCCTTTGAAAATGTCTGCTAACCTCTAAATGTGAGATGTTGGCAAACTGGGACTCAGGCCTTTTCAGTCTAATTCAAGTTTCTAAGCAAGGGTGACCTAGGCCTGGTATGCTTCTCTTTGCTCTTAAGGCATAAGACACCTTTAAAAAGATTTTACCCATTGATGCTAAACTGAAGGACATAGTTTCAATTTTTTTTTTTTTTCGCGGTATGTGGGCCTCTCACTGCTGTGGCCTCTCCCGTTGCGGAGCACAGGCTACGGACGTGCAGGCTCAGTGGCCATGGCTCACGGGCCCAGCCGCTCCGCAGCATGTGGGATCTTCCCGGACCAGGGCATGAACCCGTGTCCCCTGCATCGGCAGGCGGACTCTCAACCACTGCGCCACCAGGGAAGCCCTTCAATTTTTATATTCATCCCTGAAACAAATTAACATGATGGTTTAGCAGGTCTCTAACCCAGTTCTATGGAAAGGTCTGAATACTGTTTCTTTTTCTCAAACTCTACATTCAATTATGCTTCCCCTAGGAATTAATTAAGATGGAGTTACTATTTAAGTATTTCTGCTGATAATACAAGTGCAGATGACACTGTGGTGAAACTGAGATATTTCACTGCTATTGGTGAAAATACAAAAATATTTCTGGAAATAATTTGACAACTGATTAAGACATCTCTTTTACAGTGACAGGATTTGGGATAACATTTACTTTTCTCTTGGGTCCATGTCTTGTGTAAACAATTTTTTAAAATTACTATTGTTTCAATAAGTATTTTTAAACTGAAGGGATAAGATGAGCAAGAATAAGGCTTTAGCTAGTTTTATTGAGTAGGTGCTCTTTCACGTCACGTCGTCTCTCTACTGTGTACGCTAAAGTGCCAACTACCTCTCAATACCAACAGAACAGCTTATGTTTAAAGAATGTCATGGAATTTAAGCTCTGCTGTTCTAAAGGTTTAAGTATTCTAAATTTTCTTTTTAAGTATAAAAGTAGTTGCAATGAGCTTGGAAAAACAAAGAAGATAAAAGCAAAACATCTATAATCCTACCATTTAACCCAGTACCTATTAACGTTTTAGGGTTTTTTCTCTCATTATTTTTTCACATCCCCCCGCAACACAGTTGAAACGTATGTATATATCTCCTTAAGGCACAATAGCTTTGGGGACAGAAAAACCTATGTTCGAAGTCTAGCTTACTTACTTTCTAGTGCAGTGACCTTAAGCAAGTACATAACCCCGAGTTTTGTTTTACACATCTGCTGGCAACTCTGTTTTTAGAGTTGTGAAGATGAGAGTTGTATAAAAGGGGCCCAGCTTCTGGCTGCCACCCAGTAGGTACTCAATAAAGAGCACACATTATAACTGCATTAACATTATATTAGAAATATTTTTCTATGTAGCTACATGATTTTCATAACTATAATTATTTTAAAAAATTTTATCGTGTAATTTTTAAAAAAAATCTTCATTTATTTATTTATTTGGCAGCGCCACACAGCTTGCGGGATCTGAGTTCCCCAACCGGGACTGAACCCGGGCCCTCGGCAGTGAGAGCATGGACTCCTAACCACCGGACCACCAGGGAATTCCCTATAACCGTAATTTTTTTTTTTGCGGTACGCGGGCCTCTCACTGCTGTGGCCTCTCCTGTTGTGGAGCACAGGCTCCGGACATGCAGGCTCCGTGGCCATGGCTCATAGGCCCAGCCACTCCACGGCATGTGGGATCTTCCCGGACTGGGGCACGAACCTGCGTCCCCTGCATCGGCAGGCGGACTCTCAACCACTGCGCCACCAGGGAAGCCCATAACCATAATTTTTAACACCACTTAATATCCTACTGGATGCATCCAGTGGCACATTCATTTTTTTTTAGCTCTTTATCCTAATGACAGATTTGCCAGAAGCCTCCTATTGACTGAGATGAAGAAACTTACACACACACACACATTTTCTTTTACAGGCTGGGAATTTTTAGGGCAAAGGGGATTAACACTTTCACGGATCGTGGATATACTTCCAAATTACTAACAAAATGGCTACTGGCTATATCTATTCTGACGCCAGCAATGTATCAGAACTCATTTTACTATACTTGCACCTGCACGGGTTATTAATATTTTTCTCTCCCTCCTTTCTTTTCCCATTGTTTTAATCTGTACTTTTTGGAAACAAAAAGTTAAAGCTCCTGTCATGCTCACTGAGACACTTATCTAGTATATTTGAGGATATTTTTATTGATAATACAACAGTATCAGTGCTTCATCTGTAATATTTACTGAAAATATTTCTGTCAGTCTGCTGCTAAGCCTTCTTTAGGTGGTTAATGTTTTGATACGAATTGTTATTAAATTTGTCTACGGTCAAGTCTTTTAATATCACCCTTAAAAAAAACTTACGATTACGGAAAATATCAAGGAAATATAGGAAAGCAGAGCGAATAACACAATGGATCTCTGTGTATCCATTACCAGATACAGCAATCATCTAACTTACGGTCACTATTATTTCAACATTCCAGAAACTATTGCCCCACCCCATTCTTAGATTATTTTGAAGCAAACTGAGGATATAACATTTCATATATAAATATTTCAACATGTAGCTCTTAAAAGATTAAAAATATATATAACCACAATACCAGTTCTATCCTCTAAAATTAACAGGAATCCTTTAATATCAACAAATAACTAGTGAGTGTTCAAATTCAATGTCACAAAATTTTATTTTATGATTTTTTAAAATCAGAATCCGGACAATTTGTCTCTTAAATCCCTTTTAATCTATAGGCTCCCCCTCCCTCTGCCACCACCTCCCAAACTTCTTTTTTAAGGAATATGACTGTCTGACCTATAGACTCTCCCATAGTCTGGATTTTGTTGACTGCATTCCTGTGGTGGTGGTGGACATGTTCATCTGTTCTAGGTACTTCTTGATATGTGGTACTTAAGTCTAGAATAGGGATGGATGTTTTAGCAATACTCCGTGAGTAGTATTGAGTATCACTTCAATACTTGTTTTAATCATGACTGCTTTTCTTTTAATGTTTTGTTTCTAAATAATTTATCTACAGAAGAACTGAAAAGATTGTAGAGTATTTGCATATACCCCTAACTCAGCTTCTTTCAATGTTAGCATCTTTTATTTTTTTATTAAAAACAGAATTTTCAGGTGTAAGGATTTTAAAAAAAATTTTATTTACTTTTTATTTATTTCTTTTTGGCTGCGTTGGATCTTTATTGTTGTGCGTGGGCTTTCTCTCGTTGCAGTGAGTGAGGACTAAACTTCGCCGTGGTGCTTGGGCTTCCCACTGCAGTGGCTTCTCTTGTTGGGGAGCACGGGCTCTAGGCGCACAGGCTTCATTAGTTGTAGCATGCAGGCTCAGTAGTTGTAGCTCGCAGGCTCTAGAGAACAGGCTCAGTAGTTGTGGCGCACGGGCTTAGATGCTCCGCAGCATGTGGGATCTTCCCGGACCAGGGCTTGAACCTGTGTCCCCCGTATTGGCAGGCAGATTCTTAACTACTGCACCACCAGGGAAGCCCTCAATGTTAGCATCTTATAAGCATGGTACATTTGTCAAACCTAAGAAATTAACATTAGGGAATACTATCAACTAAAATAAAGTTCATTCAGATCTCACTAATTTTTCCACTAATGCCCATTTCCTGAATCAATCAGGATATCCCATTGCATTTAATCTGTATATCTCCTTTAACTCTTCCGATATGGGACAGTCTCTTGGTCTTTCCTTGTCTTTCATGACCTGACACATTTAGTTGCGGTAAGGTGTTCTGTAGACAGTCCCTCAATTTGGGTCTGTCTGATGTTTTCCCATGAATAGGCTGAGGTTATGGATTTTTGGGGAAGACTACCACAGAGGTGATGTGCCCTTGTTGTATCATATCAGGGAACATGACTTATTACTGGTGATGTTAATACTGATCATTTGGGTAAGGTGGTGTTTGCCAGTTTTCTCCACCATCAAGTTATTTTCCCTTCCATACTCTATATGTTAGAAACAAGACACTAAATTCAGCTCCACCTCCTGCAGGGAGGGGTCTCAAAAAATATGTGGGTGTACCTTAAAACCACCAAAGTAATTTACAGGGAGATACTCTAAGGCTAGGCAAATATACCATTTCTCCTTAAAGTTGTGTCCACTAATGTTAGTATTCATCAATGGATCATGCCTACAGTAATTATTACTGCAGTGTTCTATCCATGATTTTCTTTTCCCTCCTTACTTCTACATTTATTAATTAAAATTATTCTGTAAGGAAGATTTAGCCCTTCTCCCCTATTTATTTATTCATCCACTCATTTATTTATAGCAGAATGCATTAATGAACACTTATTTTATTCTTTCAGTTATAAACCAATAATACCATCATTTGTCACACTGCTCAAAATGTTCAACTTTGCACTCTGGGAGCTCTTTCAGGTCTTTTAGGTGGTCAAACTTATCATCAATGAGACAAACCAATACCACATGTATTCTATGTGATGCACCGGGGACCCATCACTTCAGTGATATTCCTGCCCTCCATCTTTTTTTCTCTTTTTCTTTTTTGAGTAGTTTCTTGCTTTCTTGCACTAGAAGATGCTCTAGGCCCATATTTTTATTTTCTTTGCTCCAGCTATAGAATCAATCATTTCTCTAAGGAGCCCTGGTTCCTTTCATTGGAGAACTGTATTTAAAAACCAAGATCTGGGTATATAATATATTTTAATATAAGTTAGTCCTTCCATACTATACAAGTTTTTAAAAAAATGTAAATATTCGTATCTGTTTTTCTTCCATTTGACTAATTTTTTCCCAGTCAGTGCTAATCATTTTAAGTCTTCTAATTTATGCCAGAAACAACAAAGGCATCTGGTTTTAGTTACTACTTTTAGTAAATTTATAAATGACCTAAATGCCCATCAATGAGATAAAAGACAACCCATTGTGGTATTTTCATATAAAATAATTGAATACTACTTAAAGAGAAAAAAATGAATAAACTACAGCTATATTTTTAATATGTATGATTACTGCAGAAAAAAATACATTCAGAAAGATACTATTTACCATTTAAAAACGTGCAAAAAGGGACTTCCTTGGTGGCGCAGTGCTTAAGGATCCACCTGCCAATGCAGGGGACACGGGTTTGAGCCCTGGTCTGGGAAGACCCCACATGCCGCGGAGCAACTAAGCCCATGCGCCACAACTACTGAGCCTGCGCTCTAGAGCCCTCAAGCCACACCTACTGAGCCTGTGTGTCACAACTACTGAAGCCTGTGCGCCTAGAGCCCGCGCTCTGCAACGAGAAGCCACAATGAGAAGAAGCCCGCACACTGCAACGAAGAGTAGCCCCCGCTCACCGCAACTAGAGAAAGCCTGCATGCAGCAATGAAGACCCAACACAGCCAAATATAAATAAATTAATTAATTAATTTTAAAAAGTGCAAAAATACTAACTATATTGTTTAGAGATTATATATGTAGTATGTAAATACATGAAATTACTGGCTTGGGGGTGGGGAGGTAGGAAAGAGAAAGAAATGTGATCAGTGAGGGGTATACAGGGAACAGCAATTCTTTTAGCAATGTTTTATTTTTTTAGGATGAGTAGCAAATACACAGATGCTCAAAATATTTCATAATACTTTTTTAAAGATATAAACAAATGAGGAAGATTAAGAAAGAATAATCACATAATTGATCCATAGGAGAACAGTCAAAATAAAAAACTACCACTCGGGGGCTTCCCTGGTGGCACAGTGGTTGAGAGTCCACCTGCCAACGCAGGGGACACGGGTTCGTGCCCCGGTCTGGGAGGATCCCACATGCCGCAGAGCGGCTGGGCCCATGAGCCATGGCCGCTGAGCCTGCGCGTCCGGAGCCTGTGCTCCGCAACCGGAGAGGCCACAACAGTGAGAGGCCCACGTACTGCAAAAACACCAACCACTCAAAATAAGCTAGTTGAAAGACTGATTTTTAAGTCTGAGATGACCAAAACAGAAAGAGAATACAACTATGAAGAGTATAAAGAGAATCACTAAATACTAAAACAGGAAACTCTGGGGACTTAAAATCATATTGAACTTGTTAGTTCAAAAGGTAATATGGTTGGAAACAGATAAAGGTTAAATATAGTTATTGTAAAGGATAACAGTTATTAAAAGCAAGCTACAAATACTGAAAAAAAAAAATAAAGTGCTAAAAAAAAACAATGGGACACACTGAGAGGGCAAAGGGGCCAGAGCTTGAAGGGATTCCCACTTGCTAAACTTTGGACAATGAGTTTCAAAATTACAGTGGATTGTAACCCACTTGACTAAAATAAGAACCTGTGAGACCATATTATAACGAAACAGAATTGGTTTAGGCCAACACCATCTTAACCAAGTGATCAAAGCTACTATCATCAATGAGACAAATCAACATCACATGCCTTCTATGTGATGCACTGAAGACATCACTTCCCTGATACTCCTGCCAAAAATGTATGTGAATCTTGATTATGAGAAAAGAGAGGGACATTCCACAAAATAAATGCCCTATACTATTCCAAATGGTCAAGGTCATAAAAAACAAAGGCTAAGAAATGTTTCTGATTAAAGGAGAATGAAGAGAAACGACAACCAAATGCAATGTGTGATCCTAGACTGGGAAGAAAATTGATATAAAGAACACTACTGGGGCTTCCCTGGTGGCGCAGTGGCTGAGAGTCCGCCTGCCGATGCAGGGGACACGGGTTCATGCCCCGGTCTGGGAGGATCCCACATGCCACGGAGCAGCTGGGCCCATGAGCCGTGGCCGCTGAGCCTGCACGTCCGGAGCCTGTGCTCCGCAACGGGAGAGGCCACAACAGTGAGAGGCCCACGTACCACAAAAAAAAAAAGAAAAAAGAAAAAAAGAACACTACTGGGACAACTACAGATATCTGAATATGGTTTTTGGATTAGGTAACAGTATAATGTTAGTGTTAAATTTCCTGATTTTAATAACTGTATTGTAGTTATGTAAGAAAAGGTTCTTGTTCTCAGAAAACACACTCAAATATTTAGGGCTAAAGGGGCATTGTGATGACTGCAACATACTTTCAAATGATTCAGAAAAAACTGTAAGTTGGTAAATAGTACAAACAGATACAGACAGAATGATTAGGCAGATGTGGCAAAATGTTAACAAGTGGCAAGTCTAGAGAAGGATATAGGAAGTTGCTTCTAAAGTGTTTGTAATATTTGTATAATTTTGAAATTACTTCAAAATTTAAAAAAGCTTAAAGAAAGAATACTGTAGAGACACTGTCATCTATTAAAATTAACAGTACACAATGCCCATGCTCTCAAAATATTCCTCAGTTCCAACATCACATGGTGATTAGGAATGACATCTCTAACATTAGATTTTTATTTACAGTAATCAATTCTTGTTGACCATTAAAAACACCCCATTGTAGCTCTGGTCAAAAGACTCTAAAAATTTAAGAGACTCATCTATGTGAATAACGCATGTGCACCCCCTTTTACCTGAGACATCCATCTGTCATCTCCTTGAATATCTTCCGCTGCATGTGGAATGGCTGCTGGGTTTGAGTCTCCTTGGCTCATTCTACACCTGCGGAAAAAATGTCTATGTTATGTTTTGTTCACTGACAGGAATGTTTCTTTGTTACCACTTACTTAAATATTACATGTCAGGTTTTAAACAGTAAGAATTAAATAAATTCCATTGGGTTTTGCCTAGAAACGATGCAACTGGAGTTTATTTTCAGCAGAGACGAGGTCCAGGACATGACTGTCTAAGTCCCATAAATATCTAGTACTACTAAACTTCCAGACAGGTTTGAATATCATTCAGGAACAATGCATTACATCAGTATATATCTTACACCTATATTAATTTTTCATAAATACATGTTATTGTAAGAAACAAATGACAAGAAATTAAACCCTTCAAGTTCAATGACATCTACATTAGAGCCTTTTAGGCTGCTAGAGTTACACACTTAAGAATTAGTACAGCACCGATTAGAATCCAGTGATCACTAAAATCACACAAATACCTGTACTACAGATGATGACAAAACTAGTCATGGGCTTTGGCAGTGGTTTTTTCATTTTTATTATTTTTTTAAATTTTTTATGTTTTTTGGCAGTGCTCCGCAGCCTGCTGGATCGAGTTCCATGACCAGGGGTCAAACCCCTGTTCCCTGCAGTGGGAGCGCAGGAGAGTGTTAATAACCACTAGCCCACTAGGGAAGTCCCTGGAATTGGTTTTCTACAAATTTTACTAGGTATTTTTATTTTTGACAGGTATCCACTAAAAAAAAATTTGATTAACGACGACCTAAATATGGCATCTGATAGTGGAGAAGGAGTAAGTGAAATTCAGGAATATTAGAAATGCTAATCTTCTAGAAAGACAAGTAAGAAACCAGACTGTTTTCAACCAATTCTGGACAATACATACTAGAGACATCAGGCTCAAGAGGTTACTTGGAAAATGCAAAGGATGATGAAAGAGAAAAAGCTGGGGTTTTGTGGCTTATAGAAAAAAAGGCTGTACTCTCTATTTCCTTCCTTTGCCATCCTCAAATACAACTAAACTTTCTCAGAAAGAGTTATAGCCTTTTAATAAGTATTCACTGAGTAAACGAAACACCCTGGATTACCAAGGTAGTAGTTTTTGAGGATCACAAAGTAACAAGCCCTAAACATGAAAGTAAATCTTCATGAAAAATAAATTACAGAAGGAAACAATTTTAACACTAATTATGCAAATAAATTCGATCAGTTCCAAATGACACTAGGTCTAAAAAAAATTGGGCTCAGGGTTAAGCCTATATCTGACTAAAGATGTAAAATATCATTCACAACCTGTGTATATTTCTTTAGATTACTAAAATTTGCAACTATCAGAAAACAATAGCTACCTATGAAGGACTATCTACTCTATGCTTTATACATACCACCTCCGATCCTCACAAAAGTACTGCAAAATGAAGAAAACGAGGATCAGATAATTTAGGTACTTTGTTCAGTGACTGAAATGAAGTTTGTCTGACCCCAATTACGTCACATCTGACCCACTGATCACAAACCAGTTCACGCTGACTCCCTAAAGGGGACCTATATCTAACCATTTCACCCAAAAGACTTATGACTTATACCACACGGAACTAAAAACATCAATGTAAAATGCAAGAATCGGGAAGAACTGCAAGATGAACCTATATAGTTCCAATCAGACTATGATCTGTTTGGAGTTTCACTGTCTAAAAAAAGTGAGGAAAAATCAGAAGATACATAAAAGAAAACAAAAAAAGGATTACAGGGTTAAAACAAATAGCCACACAGAAACTTTTTGTTTTTAGCCAATAAAACATTCTAAATCTTCTATATAAAAGTTTCTTGGGGGGTCTACGTTCAATTCTTGATTCAAGTCTGGCTATTCAGGTTAAATCTGATATGGCACTTAATACTCACTTTAATTTTAGTAAGTAACTTTCTTCCCCGCTGATCAAAAAGCTCTATTGTCCTTAAGACCAACAAGGAGCAACTTTTCCCATTTTCTGTATTTCAAAATTAGATATATAATGTAAAGAAATACAGCAACAAAACAGCTCCTTTTTCCACTCACTAATTGAAAAAGTCTATTTCCTAACTTTTAAAATAGATTTTAAAAACCCAAACATTCCTCATTTATTTTCCCACCTGGAGAAACTCTTAACATGCTAGGTATTTTTGAGGCAAAAGTTAACTGACGCAGGGTTAACTGAGCGATCACTACTAAAAACGAGAAAAATAATCTGTCCCCCTCTCACTGTGTGATTATGTAACTGAAACCATTTTTCCTGGGGATTGTTAAAAGAACAAGGATGACAAAACTGTACATATGAGGTGCCTCCATAATAAAATGTATCCAAATTCATCCCTCACCACTTAAACACACAATGCAGGCACTCCAACTACATTTCAGTTCTTGGAACACCAGGTTCAGATTTTGTTGAAAAACTTAAGAATTCTGAGAAACCAGAGGGTGTTTCAAGGAAAGGAGCCAAGATGGTGAGAAATTAAAAAACCTGTCATATCAGAAATAGTTGAAAGAAACAGGTATGTTTATAACCTGTAGAAAAACTGTGGGGAAGAGGAAATAATGGGACAAATAGCCGTCAAAGTATTTGAAGATTACTAGGAAGGGACTTTAGGCCTATTCTGCATGTCCCCAAATAGGAAGACAAGGCCAGCAGATACAATGTACAGTGAGACAAATTTATAACAAACAGAACTGCAAATGACATGACCTGTCTCTCAAGGCAGATTCCTCCCAGGGGCTGCAGAAACTAGGTGAACACCTACTAGAAAAGCATAAAGTGAACTAAACCATATGAGTAAAGACTGGTCCAGATTAGTGGGATTCAAACATTTTTTAATGTTTTAGAATCTTTTTGAAATGTTCCTCAATATATGTACATTTATAAATCAGATGTGAATTGCTGTTAACCTGTGTATTAAATATTTGTAATTTTTTTCCTTTTTTACATAAAAAAAATGAATGTAAAGAGACGTTCTAAATATTTTCCTATATTCCAATGGATCTCCTTATGCATCCCAGGGCAGCACACATACTCGACTTTCAAGACCAGTGGTCTATATAAACTATAAGATCTCTTTAGATCTATGATTCAATTTACAGACATGGATTTTTAGAGTTTCTCCAACAGGTAAACAACTGATCAAAAAATAATAACTGCAATAAAGATTTATTGAGAACTTACTATTTACAAGACACTGTGCTAGGAGCTTAGTTATTTAAATAAAAACTGAAGCTCAGGGAGATTTAAGGAAACTGCTCCATGATAGGGAGAGCTGGGATTTGAACTCAGGGTGATATACTACCCTCCAAAACCTATTACTCTTGAGCAAAGGGCATTAGGCTCTATATAGGAAAGACTGTATGAAACAATGATAAATTCTAATTTACTAATTCAATTCACTTATATATCCTATTACTACTACCCAAATTTAATGGCATTCTGATACCCTTAGCAAAACACTTTCATCTCAGTCCTAAATTTTGTCATGAGCAAAATGAAAAAGCTATAGGGACAGAGAAACTGAGGAACAAAATGTCACTTACCTAAAGTTACTAGGCAGGTAAAACAGAGAATTTAGCACAATATTCCCAATTAGCTAGTATTTTTCTTCTTTAACAATGAATACAAGGTCATCCTCCTTCCTCCTCTGAGCAAAATTTGTTTCTTTGTGCCTTCAGACACTTGGATTTTGGATTATTTTGCCAAATCAAAATCTTACAATACAAAGGAGTTTTCAGTTTTACCTGTGCCTATAGCTTGGTAACATTTTTAAACAGCTGTTAAAAAAAAAAAACAAAAACTGAGGGGCAAACCCATGTAATCTCCTCTTTAAGAACCAAACTAGGGGGACTTCTCTGACAATCCAGTGGTTAACACTCTGCGCAGGGGGCGTGGGTTCGATCCCTGGTCAGGCAACTAAGATTCCACATGCCATGTGGTGCGGCCAAAGGATTAAAAAAAAAAGAAAGAAAGAAAGAAAGAAAAAAGAAAGAACCAAGCTGGGGACTATGCATTTAGGGGATTCAAATAATTCGGGAGTTAGATAAAAAAAAACTGTGTACTGTTTATAATAAAAATGAAGAATCAAATCAGCAGCCATCCAGAGAACAGCCTGTGGTGGGTCACAAAAATCTGAGTGATTTGGGGTTTCCTGCCTCACGTAGAGAGCGATATTGTGGCACAGAAGTATTCAGAATGCTGTAATTAGTAACAACAGAAAAAGTAGCAACAGAGAGGGATTTGACTCCCATCTCACCTCACTGGTTCATAATAATCGCCTCTGTGCAGCAAGTCATTAACTTCTGAGGTCACAAACAGCATGTTCAGTTAGAAAAACCCAAAAGAATGGAGATAAAGGTCAGAAGAAATTAATTTATCACGAGACATACTCTTCCAGGGAAGCTTTAACTGTCCATTAAAATGAGTTCTCTGGGAAGATGAGGAGTAAGTGACTTGCACAGCATTTCCCAATTTTCCTGCATTTTCTGTCTTCTCTACTTAACTCCGACTATGACAGTCTTAACACCAGAATTTCCAAATGCTTATACCACCGTGGTGTAGTGTGTGTCTAATCAAAAACCAGTTCCAACAACAAAGAATTATAAATACTCAAGCTGAGCTGTATGTTTCTTTAGTTTAACCAGGAAACAGATGGAGGGGGAAAGTTGCACTAAGAATTAAAAGATTCAGAATGTTTCTACTCTGACCTCAGACTCTTCATTTTGTTTCAGATGGAGCTGGCAGGGTTATTCTAAAGGCGAAGGCAGGCCTCATCCCTAGTACCCTGCCTCAGTGGGCTGGTGGATGGGTCCCGGGGTTCCAGCACAATCAGAATTTATTATCAAATGCCCAAGTCAACACATTAAAGCACAATGATTTCATACTCCTCCCCTGCTCCCGCACAAGGAGGCAACCTTTATATCAGAACGATGTGCCCAGGAGAAGAATCCAAAGACACAGGCATATCCAAGGCAAAGGCGTATTCTGATGCTCAAGGGGACAATACCCCTTGTTTTCTCCATACCTTTACCACTCCCCCAAAATGAACCCCCCCCCATTTAAAGCTGTACGAAATGAGGCCTTAGGGTGGGTCCAGGTGGTCTTCCCTTTCTCCATGGGTAAGCTCTAAAAAGAGGCCAAAGCTTCATGTGTTTGGTTTTCTTAAGGTTTGTATACACATTATGAAAAGCAACGCTGGCCTGGGAGGTATGGAAATAGTGAGTCACCGTGCAACGGGCACATCTCAAACCTGAAGGCCAGAAGATCCTGATCTGGTACATGGACATGGACCAGGTAAAAAGCACCTAAGAAAACCTGTCCATTGGCAGGTTTAGCTAGTTGGTTGACCTTGGGCAAATCACCAGCCTCGCTGGGCCTCATCCCTAAAATGAGGTGCTGGACTGGACAGTCCCCTAAGAAATAAGCCCTTCTGAGTCGTGACAGCCTATGGATTTTTGAATATATTAGAGAAGATAACGGAGAAGTTTCTGACGGGTGGCAAAAAGTGCTCCGTCAAAATAACAGTAACTGGTCTGAGCCCGCGCCAACGGCCTCTCAGACAGAGGAAAGGGGAAAAAAGGGTCAGAGGTTCAACCTCGGGGAGGAGGGAAAGGCAACAGCCGAGACCCGAGGCAGAAGCGTGGCTGGAAATGGGGCTGGCGGCGGCGAGCCCCGGGCCGCGGTAGCGGGGGATTCAGGGCGGCCTGCTCCGGGGGTCGGGCTGGGCCGGATCGGGCCGGGCGGCGCGCCCCGCCACGGTGCTCGGCCGCGGGAAGAGGCGGGGCGGCTGGGCGGCCGGGCGGCCGAGGAGGCGGCAGGTTTGGGGGTGGGGTACTGGGGAAAGGCTCCGAGGGAGGCGGCGAGCGGCCTGGAGGTGCGGGGGGCAGGGAGGGCAGCCAGGGAAGCCACGCCGGGCCAGCCGAGAAGGGGCGAGCGCGGGAGGCACCCCAAGGGTCGGGGGGGAGGGGTGGCGCGGGGGAGGGGCCGGCAGGGTGGGGGAGGGGAGGTCGCGGGCCTCTCACAATAACAAATCGCAGCCTCTTCAACCCCCACCTCTAAGCCACCGGTCCCCCGAGTCCCGGACTGCACTCACTCAGGCACAGGGTCCGTGCGGGCCCCAAGCGGCTGCGGCGTCGGCGGGTGGCGCGTCTGTCGCTCGCTCAGTCCCGGCAGCCCCGCTCCGGCGCGTCCCTCCTCCGGCCTCAGCACCCGCTGCAGCTCCCCCACTTCCGGTTCCCCTGCCACTCAGGCAAATGGCTTCCGGAAGTCCCGCCCCATCCTGCCAGGCCTTGGCTTAGCTCGCCTCTCCTCACTTTCTTTCTGCAGGAGCTCGCTGCCGGCGCCCAGGTGTCCTGACACGCCCCGCAAGGTTCCACGCTTTGTTCTCTATCCTGCCCTCGTTTTGCATGTAGTCTGCGTGACTTGGGCCTCTATCTTTCCTACGGCTGCATCCCTCAGTCCTGCGTTCATGTCACCGTAGTGTGGAGATGGCATTCGGGACAATGTGCTGTGACCTCGCACTGACGCCATTCCCTTCCTACCCCGCCAACCTGGCTTCCTCCTCCACCCCATGGAATAAACCAGATTGCTGCCAGTGGGAGGGAAATAGGGCCCCAAGGTTAATGAGGCAGTCCCTTACATTTATGGGTGGAATTTCTGTTTATGATGAATGTATGGATTTTGGATGACCACCTCTTAAGGTGATACTATAGGGGGATGGAGAGACAGTCTTTTCCTTAGAGATCCATCCAGTTTCGGGGAAGACATATATATATATATATATATATATATATATATATATATATACATACAGTTAATATTAAAAAGATGATTGCTAAATCTATAACAGAGAGGAGGGGCAAAAGATGTACGCAGGCTATGAAAACGTTTGGTGGAGCAGGGCCCTGAGCTGGCCCTTTAAAAATGGATAGGATTCGTTAAGACCCTTGTCTGAATTGGTAGAGCCTTCCAGAGTTCTGAAAATGATCAGGGGGGTCGGTTTTGCAGACAAAACCCGTTAAGAATTACTGTGAAAACCTGGAAGCCTAAAGTTTTAAGATATGTCAAATTATTTTTCAGGTGACCTGTACTGTCAAATAGTACTACATTTATCAGACGTATATAATCCAAAATAATGTGTCCACCTATAAAACGCTAATTTACCTCGGAATTCTCGTGCAGATGTTCACACAATTTATGGCACACCAGCAGGTAAATGTTTGTTGCTTTAAATGTTTTATCAAAAAGAATTTGTGTTTGGGGAACTCAAATGATGCAGCTTGAATTAGTCTCCAGGGATAAATCCATAGGATCCTGAATTTCTTCAGTTTTAACACTCAACACACTTTAATGTAATTACTACTTCAATACACTGTCTTCCCTGCTATACTCTAAGCTCTGAGGGAGCAGAGACCTTGTTGTGTGGATTCCCAGCACCTGGCATGCTGCCTGATGCATAGCAGACACTCATTAAGTATTGCTCAACCAGGAATGAATGATCAAGCGTTGAATTTGTGCCTATGTGGAACCTATGACCTATCTTTATACTTACTTGTTTTCAACTTTTTAATTAATAAACATAAACAAGGGAAGTGTGCCCCAGGGAACACTAGAGCTGGTTAAATTAGCCTCTGCTAATATTTGAATACCTCTGTGGCTCAGGCAGTTTTTAGTGTTTTGGCAAAATCTGAATGTCACCGAACCCTGAAATTTATTGATGTTGTCTCCTAATATGTCTGTTTTAGCTTTCTAAATATTTCATTTAAACAATGCAGGCGGTAGAGTGGAAAGGACCCTAAACTAAGCTTCAGGGTACCCTGGGTTCTTCTCTGAAGGCTATTGCTCACTTTACTTCTTTGAGCCTTTGTTTCTTAATGTGTAAGGTGAAAGGGATGGACTAGGTCATTGCTGAGGTTCTTTTTAGCTCTAAGCCTCCACTATCCCCTCAGTTCCTTGCAGGAACGTAATTCTGGGGCATACAACGCTATCTCACTCCTCACTTCCCACACACAACCTCCCCTTCCCCTGGGCCCCATTCAGGGTCTGTGTTTTCCATACAGTTTTCCATATCACCATACAGCTGGTGATAGGTAAAAATAGCTGTTTTCTGACTATGAGACAAATTGACTGAAAGCTATCAGGAGAGCTTGCTCTTCAAGTTGTCTTTCCATTAATGATGATGGGTTTAATGATTCCATCCGGATTCTTTCTGGTTTCGCTCATGACTGCATGCCAACCCAAAGGGAGGAAATATAGAAACCCTGACAAAAGGTCTATGGACTGATTGGTGTAACGTAAACATGATCAAATGTAAACCTAGGACGTTGAGAATGAGTGTCAAAACACCACCCAAGTGGCCTGGAATTTAGGAGACTGTTTGACATTTCGTCACTTACAGTAATTAAACTGGGAGACTTCAGGGGACCTGGCATTTCAGATATGAAAAGAAGGAAGAAAAGCTATGTGGACTGAGAATGGACACACAGTGTGAATTCAGGGAATTTCTGTGGGTAGAATGCAAGGTCCGATGGTTTATAGAAAAAGTTTCAGAGTTTTATTTATTGTTAAAACAACATTAAGAAATGTTTCAACAGGAAAAATTTTTTTCACTCCCATTCTTACAAATTAACACATTTTCATTTGCCTCGATTTATTTCAATCAGTAACCATATGGTCAGTAAGTATTTTATTTCTCAATTTTAAGATCTTTGTGGTCAGGTCAAGATATTGTTAGAAATAAAGTAAAGACAATGGAATATTACTCAGCAGTAAAAAGAAACAAAACTGAGTTATTTGTAGTGAGGTGGATGGACCTAGAGTCTGTCATACAGAGTGAAGTAAGTCAGAAAGCGAAAAACAAATACCGTATGCTAACACATATATATCAAATCTAAAAAAAAAAAAAATTGGTACTGATGAACCTAGTTGCAGGGCAGGAATAAAGATGTAGACATAGAGCATGGACTTGAGGACATGGGGTGGGAGGGGGAAGCTGGGGTGAAGTGAGAGTAGCATCGACATATATACAGTACCGAATGTAAAATAGTTGGCTAGTGGGAAGCAGCAGCATAGCACAGGGAGATCAGCTTCTTGCTTTGCGATGACCTAGAGGGGTGGGATAGGGAGGGTGGGAGGGAGGCTCAGGAGGGAGGAGATATGGGGACATGTGTATGCGTATGGCTGATTCACTTTGTTGTACAGCAGAAACTAACACAGTATTGTGAAGCAATTATACTCCAATAAAGGTCTATTAAAAAAAAAAAAGAACATATTATATAACAACATTTTTGTCTTCCCAACTGAAAATTGTTAATTTGTCATATTCTTATATTTTTTTAACTGTGTGTGTGTGTGTGTGTGTGGTTTAATATCATTATAAACTCATGGATTGAAACACATTTGATATGTTTCATTCATTGCAATTATTTTTCTTATTGATAACCAGATTGCCCCAAAATAATCCCATTCAGGTTGGCTCCTGAGTCATTTTGACATGACCAAACATTGATCCGCTTTCTGTCACTTTAGTTTTGCTTTTTCTACAATTTCAATAAATAGAATCATAGAGTAGAGTCAACTTTTGTTTCTGGTTTCTTCCTGTTAACATGATATGTTAAGATTCATCCATGTTGTTGTGTGTACCAGTACATAGTTCACTCCTTTTTTTTGCCAAGTAGTGTTCTGTTGATGGATATTCTACAATTTGTTTATCCAGTCAATAGTTAAGGGACATTTGGGTTGTTTCTGGTTTTGCTTATTAAAAATAAAATGAGGATGGAAGTTCATGTAGAAATCTTTGTGTGGACATGTGTTTTCCTTTTTGGATCTCTTGGACCTAGGACTGGAAATGCTGAGTCATATGACAAGTGTATGTTTAGCATTATAGTAAACTTCCCATCTGTTTTCCAAAGTGGCTTATCATTTTACACCCCCATCAGCAGACTGTGAGAGTTCCAATTGCTCTGTATCCTTGGCAATACACAATATTATCAATTAAAAAAACTTTAGCCATTCTAGTTGTTATGATATCTTATGGTGGTTTTAATTTGCATTTCCCTGATGATATTAAGCATCTTTTCATATTCTTTTTGGCCATTTATATATCTTCTTTTGCAAAGTGCCTGTTCAACTCTTTTGCCCATTAAAAAATATTAGGTTATTTTTCTTATTACTGAGTCGTAAAAGTTCTTCTATATTCAGAACAAAAGTTCTTTGTCAATATATTTATTTCAGACATTTTTTTCTCCCAATCTGTGGCTTGTGTTTTCATTTTCTTAACAGTGTCTTTTTGTTTGCTTTTTTTTAAATTTTTGTTTTGTTTTTTGGCCATGCCACTCGTCATGCAGGATCTTAACTGGACCACCAGGGAATTCTCTACAGTATCTTCTGAAGAACAGAAGTTTTTAACTTTGGTAAAATACAGTTTATCATTCTCTTTCATTTATGGTGTGTTATTTTTTGTGTTCTATTTAAGAAATCTTTACTATTAGTTATCAATACAATAGAGTTTCTCCCATGTTTTCTCCTAGAAGTTTTATATCTTTAAGTTTTACATTTCAGTTAGTAATCCTTTTTAAGGTAATTTTTGTGTATAGTGTGAAGTAAAGAACAAAGTTAATTGTTGTGCATATGGATGTCCAATTGTTCCGGCGCAATTTATTTATTTGTTTATTTTTGGCTACGTTAGGTCTTTGTTGCTGCGCATGGGCTTTCTCGGCGAGCGGGGGCTGTTCTTCATTGCGATGCGCGGGCTTCTCATTGCGGTGGCTTCTCTTGTTGCGGAGCACGGGCTCTAGGTGCATGGGCTTCAGTAGCTGTGCCGCACAGGCTCACTAGTTGTGGCTTGCGGGCTTAGTTGCTCTGCGGCATGTGGGATCTTCCCGGACCAGGGCTTGAACTCGTGTCCTCTGCATTGGCAGGTGGATTCTTAACCACTGCGCCACCAGGTAAGTCCTCCATTGAATTATTGACATCTTGGCTGCTGTATTGTAAGACAATTGGCTATATATGTGTGGGTCAATTTTGGACTTATATTCTGTTCCATTTATATTTATGTCTATCTTTATATCAATACCAGACTATCACAATTTCTGTAACTATATAGTTACTCTTGAAATCAGATAGTGTAAGTCTTCTAGCTGTCTTCTTCTTCAGAATTGTTTTGACTATCCTAGGTCCTTTGCATTTCCATATAAATTTTATTTAATTAATTAATTTTGGCTATGCTGTGTGGCTTGTGGGATATTAGTTCCCCCACCAGGGATTGAACCCCAGGCTCCCCAGCAGTGAAAGCACCGAGTCCTAACCACTGGACTGCCAGGATATTCCCTCCATATAAATTTTAGAATCATGTTCTTGATTTCTACAAAAAGCCTTTTGAAATTTTGACTGGAATACATTGAATACATATTTAGGGGAGAACTGAAAACAACATTGACTCTTCTGATTCATGAATACTGTTTATTGTGCCATCATTTTAGATCATCTTTAATTTTTCTCAGCAAATTTTGTAACTTTCATTGTACAGGTCTATATATTTAATAAATTTATCCTTAAGTACATATATCCTTCACATTCATAAGAACATTTTTCTGAGGTCTTAGAGAACACCCCATTTTTGGGAACCCTACAATAGCATTTACTCTCTGATTAAATGTACCTGAAAAATTTAAACAATCAGCTTGATATCTGTAATGAATGTAACAATGTGCTTGAGAAGGAGTTAAGAACCTCAATGCCAGGCCAAAATACACACCCCGTCTAGACATCTGGCTAAGTGCTTTGCTTTCATTGCCCACCAACCTTCAAGATAGTTTCATTCAAATTTCCACCTCATTAAAAATGACAAATCCTTATATCATGGATTTTTAGGGTCTCTCTCAAGATAAAACCCTGAGTTCTGAGTGCCAATAGTCCATGGCTGTTTCTATCACAATGTCTACCTTTCTCTTACCCATGTGTTTACAAGTCTCTCTCCCTGACTAAATGAGTTCTTCTGGGGTAGGAGCCTTGTTTGCTTGTAACCCCAGTACCAGGAAGTGCCAGGCATAATAAATATTTTTTGGTAAATATTTGATGGATGAATAGTCAAGGTTAATTTTCAGGTCTCAAGAAAGAAGACCGTTAAAGCTGAGGGGAGCAGATGGTGGAAGCGAGGTCAAGAATAGGAATCAGCACCTGGAATCCTAAAAGGCTGCAGTGCAGTGGGAAGTTGGAACACAGGAGGTAACCGGGCATCATCCAAATTAGTTCTGGCAGACAGTTTCTTGCATCTTCTTGTATGTTTTAAAAAGCTGGATATTCTTAAAGGCAATGTCCAAGTAATTGACAAAGTCATCTTAGGCCCACTGAATTTCTTTTCATTTCAGTAGATATTTATTTAATTCTTACTTACGTGCCAGGCACTCTGCTAAACAATGGGGAGAAAAATGAGTAAGGTAACATTTCTCTCCTCAAGGAACTCACTATCTAGTGATAGTGAGGACAAATGATTCTAATACAATACACAATGATAGAGGAGAGAATTGAATGTTCTAAGAAGTGGAAGGAGGAGGTGGGGTGGTTAGAAAAGGTGTCTAGGAGAAAATGATGCCTGATCTGAATTTTTTTTAAGACAATTTTTAAAGAGCACTTTTAGGTTCACAGCAAAATGAGAAGAAGGTATAGAGATTTCCCATATACCTCTTGCCCACCCACATGGACAACCTCCCCTACTATAACAGGATGGTACATTTGTTACAATTGATGAACCTACATTTAAAAATTTTTAATTTATTTATTATTATTATTTTTAACATCTTTATTGGAGTGTAATTGCTTCACAATGGTGTGTTAGTTTCTGCTTTATAACAAAGTGAATCAGCTATACATATACATATATCCCCATATCTCCTCCCTCTTGTGTCTCACTCCCACCCTCCCTATCCCACCCCTCTAGGTGGTCACAAAGCACGGAGCTGATCTCCTTGTGCTATGCGGCTGCTTCCCACTAGCCATCTATTTTACATTTGTTAGTATATATAAGTCCATGCCACTCTCACTTCATCCCAGCTTACCCTTCCCCCTCCCCATGTCCTCAAGTCCATTCTCTACGTCCTGCCCCTAGTTGATGAACCTACACTGACACATCATAATTACCCAAAGTCCATAAATTGCATTAGGGTTTACTCTTGGTATTGTACTTTCTGTGGGTTTGGACAAATGTATAATGATATGTATCCAACATTACAATATCACACAGTGTTTTCACTGCCCTAAAATTTCTCTGTGTTCCACCTATTCCTCCCTACCCGCTCCCTCTCCAAACCCTGGCAACCACTGTCTTTTTTTTTAATGCCGCCATAGTTTTGCCTTCTCCAAACATCATGTAGTTGGAATCATACAGCATATGGCCTTTTCAGATTAGCTTCTTTTACTTAGTAACATGCATTTAAGATTCCTCCATGTCTTTTCATGGCTTGATAGCTCATTGCTTTTCAGTGATAAACAATATTCTATTGAATGGATATACCATTTGCCTTTTGAAGAATATCTTGGTTGCTTCCAAGTTCTGGCTATTATGAACGAAGCTGCCTTAAACATCCATGTGCAGGTGTTCATGTGGACCTAGGTTTTCAACTCATTTGGGTAAATACCAAGAAGCATGATTGCTGGGTTATATGGTAAGAGTATGTTTAGTTTTGAAGAAACCACCAACTGGTCTTCCAAAGTGGCTAAACCATTTAGCATTTCCACCAGCCAATGGCATATTCTTCTCAGCACTTGATGTTGTCAGTGTTCTGGATTTTGACTTTTTTTTTTTTTTTTTGATCGCACAGTTCAGCATGCAGAACTACCCCCTCCAGAGATGCAACCCGCAGTAGAAGCTCAGAGTCTTAACCACTGGACCACTAGGAAGTCCTGGATTTTGACTATTTTAATAGGTATGTAGTGATATTCTCGTTGTTTTATTTGCAATTCCCTAATGATGTATGATGTGGAGCATTTTTTCATATGCATATTTGCCGTCTGTATATTTTCTTTGGTAAGGAATCTGTTAAGGACTTTGGCCCATTTTTAAAATCAGGTTGTTTGTTTCTTTATTGTTGAGTTTTAAAAGTTCTTTATATATTTAGGATAACAGTCCTTTATCAGATGTCTTTTGCAAATATTCTCTCCCATTCTGTGGCTTGTCTTTTTAGTCTTTTGACATTGTCTTTTGTGGTACAGAAGTTTTTATTTTAATGGAGTCCAGTTTATCAATTATTTCCCTCATGGACTGTGCCTTTGGCATTGTATTTTTTTAAATTTATTTAGTCATTTATTTTTGGCTGTGTATTTTTTAAAAAATTTATTTAGTCGTTTATTTTTGGCTGCGTTGGGTCTTCATTGCTTTCTCTAGCTGCGGTGAGTGGGGGCTACTCTTCGTTGTGGTGCACGGGCTTCTCATTGCGGTGGCTTCTTTTGCTGTGGAGCATGGGCTCTAGGTGTGCAGGCTTCAGTAGTTGCAGCATGCAGGCTCAGTAGTTGTGGCTCGCAGGCTCTAGAGCGCAGGCTCAGTAGTTGTGGTGCACGGGCTTAGTTGCTCTGCGGCATGTGGGATCTTCCCGGACCAGGGCTCAAACCCATGTCCCCTGCATTGGCAGGCGGATTCTTAACCACTGCACCACCAGGGAAGTCCCTTGGCGTTGTATTAATATCTAAAAGATCATCTAGGTTTTTCTTCTATGTTATTTTCTAGGAGTTTGCATTTTTCTTTATCTTTGGTTTTCTGTAGTTTGAAAATGCTATGCCTAGGTGTAGGTTTTTTACATCTATATTTCTCGTTGTTCTCCAATCTCCCTGGATCTGTGATTTTGTGTCTGACATTAATTTGGAGAAATTCTGAGTCATTATTGTTTCAAATATTCCTCTTGTTCCTTTCTCGATTTCTTCTCTTTTTGTTATTTCCATTATGCATATCTTATACTTTTTGTAGTTGTCCTACAGTCCTTGGATATCCTATTCTGTTTTTTTCAATCTTTATTCTCTTTGCTCTTCAGTTTTGGAGACTTCTATTGATACGTCCTCAAGCTCAGAGTTTCTTTCCTCAGCCATGACCAGTCTACTAATAAGCCATGAAAGACATTCTTCATTTCTGTTACAGTGTTTTTGATCTCTAGCATTTATTTTTGATTCTTTCTTAGAATTTCCATCTCTTTTCTTACATTACCCATCTGTTCTTGCATGCTGTCTACTTTATCCCTTAGAGTCCTTAGTACATTAATCATAGTTGTTCTAAATTCCAGGTCTGATCATTCTAACAACTCTGGTTAGATGTCTGGTTTCGATGCTTGCACTATCTCTTCAAATTGCGGTTTGTTTTTTTTTTTGCTTTTTAATATGCCTTTTAATTTTTCTTGATTGCTGAACATGATGTACTAGCTAAAAGGAACTGCTATAAATAGGCCTTTAGTAATGTGATGGTAAGGTATGGGGGGAGTGGAAGCATTGTGTACCTGAACTGAGTCTTAAAGAATAAATAGGAAGGACTTCCCTGGTGGTGCAGTGGTTAAGAATCCACCTGCCAATGCAGGGGACACAGGTTTGATACCTGGTCTGGGAAGATCCCACATGCCACGGAGCAACAAAGCCTGTGTGCCACAACTCTTGAGCCTGCGCTATAGAGCCCGTGAGCCACAACTACTGAGCCCGTGTGCCGCAACTACTGAAGCCTGCACACACAGAGCCCGTGCTCTGCAACAAGAAAAGCCACCACAATGAGAAGTCCGCGCACCACAAGGAAGAGTAGTCCCCGTTCACTGCAACTAGAGAAAGCCCGCATGCAGCAATGAAGACCCGACACAGCCAAAAATAAATAGATTAATTAATTAATTAAAACAAAAAGAATAAATAGGAATTGCCAGGTATAAAGCAGAGAGGGTAAAGGAGAGAAGTAAGGGGCCAGCAAGATTAAAGGCTTGAAGAGAAGAGGCAGCAGGAGAAAAATCTCCCTTGCTTAATATCTCTCAGGAGTAAAATATTATGGTGATAACTTCATATTAGCGGTCTCCTTCACCAGATTGGGATCATGCCTGACTCAGCTTTATTTTCTTCACTTTGACTAACACAGAGCATGGATTCTGTGTACAATGCGCTGTAAAACTAATAAATAATAATTTCCCAATGACATGGGACCTCTCTGCTGTCAGAGAATCACCCTGGACAAGCATAAGCTGGGCCTGGGGTCACATAAGTCCAGCCTCAGTCTTACACTGGTAAATAAATTAGAATTGCCTCAAATCATGGATGGTCCTATTACCACTATTCTTTCTACTATTACAGCTATCACATCATCTATCTATCTATCTAGCTAGCTAGCTATATCTATATATTTACATATATTTATATACAGATATATATAGATGGTAGTTTATATATATTATGTACTGCTTATGTATACATATAATATATATAAATATATAATTTATATACACACATATAATTACGACTTCAAATTTTAAAATTACTTTCATATACATTATCCTAGTTGATCCTACTATATTGATCCTAATACTACTATATTATGACTACTGTAAATAGAAAAGAGAGAAGTAACAACAAAGAGATTTTAGTCAATCAGTTAACAAATAGTTATGTGTCAGACTGTGCAAGCCACCTCAGGGATACAAAAGGCATATTGAAATAACAGAATTCATAGATAAAAGGATTATTTGGTCCAGCTGTCTCATTTTATAGACAAGTACTACAGGTACGGGAGGTCAAACTTTTTGGACCCTGCTTACAGACTCCAGGATTTCATAACAATCTAGTAGTAATGCTAAAATGAAAACATGTGAAACAATTCAAAAGCAATTAGGCAGTGAATAGTATCGTCCTGACAGAAGGGGAAAAAATCCGTGAAGAAGTAAGATGACAGAACTAAGTATCAGACACAGTCCTGGGAACTTCCATATGATCTTTATTAATCCTCAGAAAACACATCATCATCATCATCATCACCATTTTATGATAAAACTAAAGCTGAAAGAAGTCAGGTAATTTACCAAAAGCCCCACAGCAAGTGGTGGATCTGGAATTCAGAGCCAGTTCCTTCTAAATCCAACACTTACGTTATTTAAACTTTTAACCACTGAAGTAGAACAGGCATGGCCTCTGTGTGGGATGAGAAAAAGCTTTTCAAAAGTGCTGAAAAAAAAAAAGTGCTGGAAAAAAAAGGAGAGTAGGATCAAAGTAAGCAGGGCATTGCAAAGAGGAAATTGTTACGTAGATAGGCAATAGGGAACGTTCGCAGGCACTTAAGTATAAGGAGTAACATAATCATTATCGGGGAACTTGAAAGTTAGAAGGCATCTCAGGTGAGAAGTCATGTAGAAATCTATTTATAGCACAACTTACAGATATTTACTCAAATTCTGATTTAAGTAGTCACTTGACAGGGAATTTTCTTCTAAGGCCAGCGTATTACTCGCCAGCCCTAATTATTGATAGCTCTTTGGTAAGCATACTTTGTATTTCTTCAATCAAAAGAACATAACAGCTCAGGACCAAGCTCAGAGCTTTGTGGCTCACTGCTGGAGATCTTCTAAGTTAAAACAAAGGCAAGAATCCACACCTGTGCATCCACCCATTCTTTCACAATACTCACTGAATGTTTCTGTGTGCTGGTCGCTTTCTAGCGGATGGGGCTACAGAGCTCTCTGCCCTCTTGGAGCTTCACTATGCCCTCTTACTTGATAGGATTTTCAGTATCACCAAACCATTTTGGATTTTTGTGCCTTCCCTCCTAACACACCAGACTTGTTAAAAGAGTTCTTTCTTTTTAACACTACATTGGGGTCACAGAGTAAAATTCTCCAACTGCCATCTGTTTATGTCAGCTAAGTACCATAAAGAAGTTTCCACCATAATGATCCTCTGGAGCTAGGAAAACTACCACGAGACCTAAATCTTTGGCTGGTCATTAACGTCTAACTATGGTCTTTATTTCTTGTGGTGAAATAACATGCCTTTCCTTGCCTAATCCCTTCCTGGTGTGTATCAACATTATTTAATGTCTTCTAATTCAGTCATTTTTTATTTTATTTATTTATTTATTAAAAAAATTTTTTTTGGTTGCATTAGGTTTTTGTTACTACATGTGGGCTTTCTCTAGTTGCGGCAAGCGGGGGCTACTCTTCATTACAGTGTGCGGACTTCTCATTGCAATGGCTTCTCTTGTTGCAGGCACAGGCTCTAGGCACGCAGGCTTCAGTAGTTGCAGCATGCAGCCTCAATAGATGTGGCATGCAGGCTCAGTAATGTGGCGCAAGGGCTTAGTTGCTCTGCAGCATGTGGGATCTTCCCGGACCAGGGCTCGAACCTGTGTCCCCTGCGTTGGCAGGCAGATTCTTGACCACTGTGCCACCAGGGAAGTCCTCAGTCACTTTTAAAATAAATATGCCTATAAATATTGAACTTTAAAAAATCTTACTTATTTATTCCATTCACTCTGCTGTTGTAGATAGCCAGTCAGCCAGAGGTATTAGTGCAATTTTCAAGGACTTAAGCTAAAATTTCTAAAATAAGGAAATTATCTAAGATCTTTATCAAAACCCTCTAGGATCCACCCACCTCTGTTACTTTTTTCATTAAGGTCTCTTGATTCCAGATTCGAACTACACTCTTTTTAAAAAAAATTATTCTATTGAAGTATAGTTTATTTACAATGTTGTGTTAATTTCTGCTGTACAGCAAAGTGATTCAGTTATACATATATACACATTCTTTTTCATATTCTTTTCTATTATGGTTTATCACAAGATATTTAATATAGTTTCCTGTGCCAACTACACTCTTGAGAGTTCATCAAACAGTACCACAGTTGTCTAGCGCCTGTCTCTGGTCCCCTCCTCTTAATTTCCCTGTCTGAGCATAGGTCCGGAAGAGACCTTCCTCTTTCTTC